TTTAGTTTTGGTTTTTCTCCGGTACCAGGAACTGAACTCACGACCTTGCGCTTCCCAGGCAGGCGCTTTGCCGCTGAGCTAAATCCCCAGCCCCCTGAGTGCAGTTTTGATAGTTCATAGTTTTTGCCCCATGAAGTGGTTACATCCTCAATATATACACGTCGATATCACTCTTGATGCCAAATCCAGCAAATGAGCAGGTCCTATCAATGCTACTGTCAAAATATACCCCGTATTTCAACCAATTCTTACTGTTTCCACTGCCACTAGCATCCCTCACTCATAACAATGCAGAATTTCCTTAACTGAACCACTTATGTCCGCCCTCTCCTCCTTTCAGTCTATTCTCAACTCAGCAGCATTCCATTAAGATGTAAAGCAGATGGTATTACCTTTCTTACAAAACCCATTCATGGTGCCCACGTTATTCAGATTAGAAGGCAAAATCTTGAAACATTTTACAAGACACCTGCATTGCTTTGTTCCACTCTGTTTTAGGTTTGTTTGGGATTCTGTTCATTTTAGCTTAGGTAATTTGTGTAACTCTGTCTTCAAATTTACTGATATGTTCTCCCATTGTATCTATTCTATTAAGCCCATTTGATGAATTTCATTTGAACGTCATATTCTTCAGCTCTCTTCTGTTTTCTAGTTTCATTCCTTTTTTTTTTTTTTTTTTGGTGTTTCTCTGGTACCAGGAACCGAACTCACGACCTTGCGCTTGCCAGGCAGGCACTTTGCCCCTGAGCTAAATCCCCAGCCCTAGTTTCATTCTTTTTCATAGTTTTTATTTCTTTCTTCATTAGACTTATATTTTCCTTAAATCCTTGAGCATATTTATGAACGTTACTTTAAAGTTCTTATATGTTAATCTCTGTCATTTCTAGTCATACGTTTTCTTCTACCTATTATGAGTTGCATTTCCTGGGTTTCTGCTGTTTTGTTGTGGGCATATCTAGTAATTTTTTTCTTGGAAGTTGAATGCAGTAAATATGTAGTTGAATGTTTAGATTTTGTTGGCAGGCAGTCAATTTACTTGTAGATCAATTTGAGCATTTGGAGTTTGTGTTTAAGCTTAGTTAGGGCAGACCTAGCGTGGTTTTTACTCTAGGGCTTTGGTAGCCCCTTTTCTGAAGTTTGAACCTTTTGGGGTCATTATGAGATTTCCCAGATGCTCAACAAAGACTTCCCATCATGTCAGAAATTGACCATCTCTCAACCTTAGGGAAGTTCTAGTGGTCACTGACCTCTTAGCTCTCTGGTAGTGCTAGTTATTTTCTATCTGTTCTCCTAGAGTCTCACCCCATCTATGTATAGCTTTGTATTAGTCAAACATCCAAGAAAGGCCCATGTGGGTTTCTGAAGCTCTTTTTCCTGCTCCTTCTCTCTGGTATTCTGTCTATGGCAGTTTCCACACATCTCAAACTTTTAAACTCCATTTAATCTTTGTTGCCTCAGCTCAGTGGCACTTCGATGGTCTTCCTTGGCCTCTGCCTCGTGTTGCCATTTGGACGTTGTCCCAAGGCAGAAAGCTGGGGTGCCTATAGGACTGGTCTCATTTATTTTCCTTTTCTCAGGGTTGACAGTCCTGCACTGCTTGCTACTGAGTGTCTCAAAACAGTGGTTTTGTGTTTAACCTAGTTTTCTAGGTCAAAGTGTAAGAGTTGCTCAACTATGGTAGGAGGTGACCACAGCGTGTAAAGCACACTACTTACTAGTTACTAAGGTTATACCACACCAGCTTGTGTGTGGTAGAGAACTCAAACACAGCATGGGAAAATTACTTGCCTAAGATGAAGCTGTCAGCAGAGATGGTAGAGTCCAGGTGTTTTGCATTCCAGGCTGTTCTTGCCTGCTGAAGTTATATCACCTCTTCCCCAGTGTGGTTGCTCAGAGGACACCTCTCACAGCTCCTGCCATCTAGTATTGCTTGGAATACTGACTTCTCCTATTAGGTTTTCACCAGTACACTTCAGACCCCAATGCAGACTTGTTGGAAACAGTTTTTCAGGCCTACATGTATCAGACCACTTGGAAGGAATGCACTTTCCCTTCTAAGGGGTGAGTTTTCTGATTCTCTCTACTTTGACGCCTGCTTGATGGTCCAAAGGCCCCCTTCACTAATGTGCAACATGTAATATGAGACCATATCTGTGAAAGTATGCTGTTCGTGCTGTGAAGTAAGTGGGACTCTTCAAAAATAATTAGAATAATAAACATTGCTTCTATGTGTCAGGCCCTGACTAGAGGCAAAAGGTCACCATAAACACCTCTCTTCTTATCGAGCAGCCTTCTAGGGACTTGTTGCAACACGATGCAGTTGTCTTAGCAGACAGCCTCCTGCTGCTATTTTTTAGGGTTTGCCTAAGGTACACAAACCCTCTTTGCCCAAGGTCTTGCCCTTATCAGAGTAGCCTACAGCAGGTGACTGAGGGAGGTGTGGGTATGAAGGCCCAGGCATTTCAGACAAGATATCACTTGTTCTAGAGCTTCCACCAAGTGACCAACACTGGTCAAAGCTACATCAAAATCCAGCTTCTCCTTGCAGCCCAGTTCCACTCACTCTCTTCCTTTTACAAATGATGATCATGGATAAACAACTTAGGCCCACACCCTGACTCCATATCTGCTTCCGGAGAACCCAATCTGGGCTGTGGGACCTATGGTCCATCCAGCTTCCCTGCAACCCAGGGAAGGCCAGGCTGTAGATGTTTTAATACCATGGGCTTTAATTCCTCACAACTCCCAGGTTTTTAAAATAGTATTTTTATTGGAAGATACCTTTAGATAACATTTTAGTTATTGTTGGACCCAGGTACTATACTAATTGCCTCATGTGAATTATCCCACTTAATCCTTTCAAACAGTCCTATGAAAGAGGCATTCTTAGTACCCCCATTTTTATCAAGATCTTCCCTAGACTGTCTTGAAAAGAGCGGAGACAAGAACATAAGTGGATGATGGATGATTATGTCAAATCCCCTGCAGGTCGTGGCCTCATCTTCTACAACATGGATCTCTGTGAGAAGCTTCATTCTCATCATTGGCTGATGCTTACATCCTTTTTTGTCTTCTTTCTCCACTCTCAGTTTTGCAGATCTGGCAGCCCCTGCTCAGGTCCCACTAATAACTCAGAGGTATTTTCAGAGACTAACTTCTACCCTCAAAACTAAGAAGAGGAAAAGCACTCAGCCCACATCCTGCATTTAAGCAAAGTTCCCACAGGTGGGCCAACACAGGCAAATGTTTATGCAATGTTTTTTAGCTCACAGCAAACTGAGTAGCCAGTAAATATGGGCTCTCAAGAGGTTACCCATTCATTCATGACCAAGGACTACCAGTGAGGGACCTGTTATGGACCTCGGGATGGGGGAAATGGAAGGCACAAATGAATGATTCTTGGAGTTGCACATCTCATAATGATTTTGTTTGAAGCACAAGTCCTGAAGATATGGCAGGAACCAGGAAACAGTCTTAACTTCACATTCCACTCAGTAGAAGGGAGAAGAATTTTTTTTTTTTTTGAGGCAAGGTCTTTCTATGTAGTTCACACTGACTTTGAACTCACTATGTAACCCAGGATGGCCTCAAACTCACAGCAATCCTCCTGCCTCAGTCTCTCGAGTGCTGGGATTCCAGGTGTGCACCACTACAGTTTATGAAAGTGAGAAGGATTAAAGTCTAGTATTAAACAATTTTATAATAGCCCCTTTGGGCATATGTAAGTCCAGAAAAATGTACAGAAGATTTTAGCTCAGATTTGATAGTAACTTCTCATGTTAGAAGATTCCCAGAAAAAGTGGATGTTCAGGGACTTCCTGCTGTTTGTTTACTTCCTCTCTGGTTCTTCACTAGGTCTCAGTTTATTTAGGTCTGGGGCTGCTCACAGGCCCGCAGCTTTCACCAGCGAAAAGCCTCTCCAAGCTTGCTCTATGTTCTACCACAACCCCAACCCCTAAAGACCTTTGGCCTCTGTACACCTCCTCTCCAGTGTCCTGCTTGTAGATGGTCCTGTTAGCAGATATCCCAAACACCACATGCTGAGATAGGCCGAAAGAGCCATATCTTCCTCAGGCCTGAGGCATGTTAACAAAAGCCACTTTTTATTACACCAAGTTTAGACCTGAGGTAAGTCTCAGAAAGCAAGGTGCGAGGTGCCAATCTTCAGGAATGCATGCATGTTAGGGCAAACAAGAAAAATCCACTTTGCCCCACATCTACACAACATTTTCTTCTTTCATTTTTTCTTTTATCCCTTGATATTTACAGTTCCCCCTCTGCCTCTATTTTGTTGCATACCCATTTACATAGTGACCATGGCCATGACATCATCTCTCTCTCCCTACCCATCTCCCAGGTTTCCTGAGATGACCTTGTGCCAAGAAGAGGCTGAGAAGTTGGCTGGCACAGAACCAGCCCAGGATACTGGCACTGTGCCAACTAGTTGCTGTACTGCCTATCAGCTAATACTTGAGGGTACTGCTTCCCCTGGTTTTCTGCTGTGGAGGCTCTCTGTGGAGTCAGACTGGGGATCATTCAAAGTACTGAGGGCTCTGACCCAGGATTATATTTAGATCCTTGACAGTGCCTCAGTCCTACCTAACCGTGAGAAAGCTATCCATTATTATTTTCTCCTTGTGGCAGAACTGGGTTCTGATTTACTCCTCAGGCAGATCCCAAAAACATACTTCTGACCCAACCTTGATTAGTAAATCTAGGTATCCCTTCAAGGTCTTCCCTGAGGTTTGGAATGGAGATAGATTTTGCCTTCTTGTCCCTGTAAAACAAGGTAATCCTTGATTCAAGGGCTAGCATTTAACTCTAGTTTTTTATGAGAAATGAACATTCTCATGACCCCAGCCATTTGGTAAATCTTAGTTCCCACAACACCCCTAAACTTTCATCAGTCACACTGTCTACCACAGGATTCCTAGTCCCCACACTGAGACTTCAGGAAGGTCTGGCTTCAGTGCGTGTTTCCATTTCTTCTCTCTGGCAGTGTCCGGAATCTTCCTGGGTCCCAGCTCAAAGTTCACTTTGTAGAGGAAGTAAGCCAGCTTCCTGTAAGGGCAGTTCCCAGTCGGCACAGTCGTCCCTTCGTCTGCACTGCTGTGTGTTTGTATTTAATTATCTGCTCTTTCATCCTACCTCTTCCATAGGTATCACTTCTGTCCTCTTTCCAAGATGGGGAGGCTATAAACGAAGACTGACAGATTGTGTTACATAAAAGTATATTTTTAAAAATTGCACAAAGACAACAAAAAATAAAAGGTTAAAAATCTGGGAAAATTATGATGAAATAATTATATAATATAGAGAAAACTCCTAAAAAGCAAATACCAAAATGATAGATAATCCAATAAGAGTGGGCAGGTTACAGAGAAGAATAGTATCGGTGATAAATATATTTCTAAAATAGTAGCTTAATTTTTAATAGAAATTAAAATAAGGTACCATTTTTATTGTAAAAGAATGCTAATATGCATTATTTATTAGGGTAGGGGAAACAGGCATGCTCCACATACAGCGGGAGGAGTATAAACTGAAGGACATTTTGAAGAGTAGGTTAGAAATAGTAGATGCATGTTCCTTTAAACACACTCATCTATAAGTTTGTAGCATTATCTGCGATTGTGAAATAGCAACACTAAACTATCCATCACTGAAAGATGGAGCCATTGAAAAGTGCAGATAAATTGATATAGCTGTAGTCATTTCACTTAATAGTGGGCAAAATTCTAAGAAATACATTACTAGTGATTTTGTCATTGTGCTGTCTTTACACAAACTGAGATAGCTACAATATCACTAGGTGACATACTCGTAAGGGATTGTCTTCATATATGTGTCTATCATTCACTGAATTGTCATTATCCAGTACACGACTACGTTTTAATAATATGGAAGGATGAATTGTTGAAGCTGGAGGAGAAAGAGGGAGGGAGAGAGGGAGAACAGAGGTAGAAATGGTATATACTGAAGTGTCAACAGTGATTTCTTGGCTGGGGATTTAGCTCAGTGGCACAGCACCTGCCTGGCAAGCAAAGGTCGTGAGTTCAATTCCCGGTACTGGAAAAAAAACAAAAAGGAAACAGTGATTTCTTTACAGAATGAGTATATCCTTTCATTTTCTGCTTTATGTACTTAAATCTTTTTGTTTTTTAAGGGTCTTGCAGTAATGTATATTTGGTACAGTTACATTTTTTAAAAGAATGATTACGTATTTGTTTCTCCCACTAAAAGCATGTCATTGGAAATGCACAATCAAATCATATTTTATGTATATTTGGTTTTACTCTACAAAGCATATTTATACATTGAATATTGATGTAAATATTCCATCAATATTATTTTGAATTTTTTTTTACATTGTCAAGGGGATGTACTTAACATTTACTCCCTTCCTTATGGTGTTGTATTTAACTATATGTTCACGTTTGCCCTGGCCCTCTCCCTGAATACAGTATAAGTATGCACCTTCTGTATCTTCAGTAGTTAGGCACAGATTTTGCATAAATGTTTGGTGGACTTGGATGCTGATGATTGAAAGCTTTACTTTCTCCCTGGGCTCCATACTTGCCACACTCTTTCTTGTCTATAGTGGGGCTTTCAGCTTAGAATTGACTAGTGTCTCTTGTAACTGGGAAGTAACAGAAGTCTGATAAGCAGTGTTCCCAAGTTAGGTTTCCAGTTAGAATAGGCAATGGAGCAGAAGACGACCTTGCTTAGAATAGAATCCATAACCTTGACCCAGAAGGGGACTTGTTTAAGAAGAAAATCTGCAAACAATTGTCATGTCCTTTACAATGAAAGCCAAAACCTATTTCCTGTTTTTGTCCTAGGGACAAAATGAAAAGAAAGATACAGCTCTTCACACACCAACATAATAAGGCATAATGTCAGGAAGGAAAAGAGAAATCATTATTAACTTCCTTTAATGTACTGTCAGTGGGACTGGCCACCTGATTAAAACACTGAGAGACACCCCTATGGAAAAATACCAGCCAGTACACAGGTCTTAGGCCCACTTGTGAAACACTGGAGTTACCTTTTCTAGCCAGGCAAGAAATACCCACAATAGTTGGAAAGACTTCAGTTTAAAGTAACAAGGAATGCCAAATTGATATCAAGAGATTGGGAGTTTAATTTTAGATTCTGACTCTAACTGGAGATGAAATCTTGAATATATAAGTAGGAATTCTAGGCTACAGTTTTTCTCCTTTCAAAAATAAGGGAATTAGAACTGATAAGTGATTTCCAAACTTTTTGTTGTTGTTGCTACAGAACTCTTTATTCAAGTAAATAATGGGCCCAGAGGAGTCAAAGGGTACAGACCTAAAGATGGAACGGCTCTTGTTGTACAGTGATACGTCAAACCTTCTTAAGTAGGAGACTGCTATACTTGGCTCTAGAATGTCCCCCAAGGGCCTATTAGTTAAAGGGTTGGTCCTCAACTTGACACTATTGGAAGGTGGTGATAACTTTTGAGAGGTGGAACCAAATTGGAACTTTCAATGTGGCGTGGGTGCATACCCTTAAAGGTGGTTATGAGATACCAGTCTCTTTGTCTTTGCTTCTACTAGGAGATGAGTAGTTTGCTCTGCCACACTCCCACCATGAAATTTTACCTCATCACAGGACCAAAAGCAACAGGGTAAACTGTACAAGGGCTAAAACCTTTAAACTTGTGAAACAAAATAAACCTTTCCACTTTTAAAGTAGATTATCTCAGGTATTTTTTTATAGTAACAGAAAGGTAACATAGGAACTATCTGTACTAAAAAAAATTTCATATAATCTTATCACCTAAGCAGGGCATAGTGGTGCATGCTTGTAATCCTAGCACTTGGCAGGCTGAAGCAGGAGGATAGAAGCAAGTTCGAGGCCTGCCTGGGCTACATGGTGAATTTAAGGCCAGCCTGATCTGCACGGCGAGACCCTGTCACAAAACAAGAAATGTGATCCCCAAATCTAGTTTGTCACCAATTATAAGCAATGGAAGAGGTTGGAGGTTTTCTTTCCAACCAAAATGAAGTATTCTAAATATCACAACCAACCCCTTGCTTTACCAAGTTTTAACTCACAGATGTGATTATATTGAGATAAACCCAAATTTTAGATTATCCCAGGTCTCCTAACTCTTACCACCACCAGTCAGCACTAGTCTAGTAACCACTGCTTTGGAACCACTGATCTATCTAGATCCAAAAATACAAAGATCTACATTTTTCTCAAAAATACTCACTTGTTTTCTGTGTAAACACTGACATCTCCAAGAGTTCCCTTAATTGAGCAAACAGTGCTTCTTAAAAACTTAATTTAATTTGCAAGAAGAATAAACACACTCATGTGTTATAAGAAGCTTAGTATTAACCCATGCTATATTGTCTATTTTACTGAAGAAACAAGAATAAGATTAAGACTCGCCACACCAATTATTCGGCACTCTCTCAGTGGGCTGAGTTATTTTCATACTGATCCAGGCTCTGAAGGTTCTGGAGCTTTCGAGAATCAGAGTAGGTATATGTCTCCATATGGGCTGCTACTACAAAATAATATATATGGAATGGTGTAAATAACAAATATTTATTTCTCACAGTTTTGGGAGCTGGGAAGTTCAGGATCAAAGCGTGACCCACTTCCTGGTATATACATGGCTACTTTCTTGCTGTATTCTCTCACTGGGGAACTCTCGAAAGAGAAGGAGAGAGAAAGAGAGACGGACAGAGAGAGAGACAGAAACAGAGACAGATAATCTCCTTAATATCTCTTGTCTAAGTGCATTAATCTCTTTCATAGGGGCTCCACCTTCCTGAATTAATTATTTCTATAGAGCTCCTTCTCTCTTATGGGGATTATGACTTTAACATGGCAATTTTGAATAGCATAACTATTCAGTCCATTACAATTGGAAAAACCTTGACAAGTCAAGCTCCATGATAAAGACTAAAATTCATCTCTAACACACAGATAAAATTTTTAAATTGTTATTTTTTTCCAGGGCACATTCAGACATTTATTTAAAATGACATTTATTTTGGGAATTGGGAAGAAAATGCTCAAATGGGAGGGGAGCAGGGGAAGGTGGAGGGGAAGAGAAAGAAAGAAAAAGAAAAAAAGAGAATAGAGGGGGAAAGGAAACAAAGCTTTTGTAAATGCTGAGGGGAGGAAGGATTGAAGGGAGGGGAAGGGAGGGGAATGGGAAAAAAGAACAATTGAAATATATTATGTACAGATACAAATTTCCTATGATGATTGTGATCATTATGTATATCAAAAGTTTTCCAATTAAATTAATTTAAAAAATAAAGTAGACACATGGAAAAAAATGACATTGATTGTATTTTATTCCTGATTACAAAAGTAGTACATAGTTATAAAAGAAAATGTGGAAATTACAAGGCTTCAGGATTCCTTGATGATGTCAAGGGGAAGCCAAATGTTGTCTGCATACTTCATTCTGCCGAGTTGTCAAGATCCAGTTGTGTTCCGCATCCTGACCACCTTTCTCAATCTAAGTCTGACTTGAAGAAATAGATTAATTTGCCAGGCAATCAGAATTTTACAAGCCAACTATCCTCAAATACTAACTATGCTTTTGGTGTATCATCTCTTTTGAAGCATGACCTAATGAAGAAATCTAAAGTTCTCCGGAGCTTTAATATTCTAAGACTCAGTAGGCATCTACAGCCATATCACCTTGAATGTACTCGGTCTTGTCTATGAATTGGACACTATACAAAAGGCCTTTATTTAGCGTTTAATTTTTCTTAGTACTTTGGTAGCTATATTTCACATCTAATTCATTAGGAAAGGCTCCTTTGAAGTAGTTTCATGCAAAAAACATTTCCTAAAATATATAAGGTACAATACAATGTTAAACCCTATAGAATGCAAGAAACAAAAGTATATGCAACAATGTTGAAATGCAAGGATAATAAATGAGCAAAATAGAGGGAATAATAATAATAATAATAATAATAAATAATACATGCCTGGCATGGTGATGCCTACCTATAATCCCAGAACTCTGGGAAGCTGAGGCAGGAGGATCACAAACTCAAGCCCAACCTGGGCAATTTAGCAAGTTGGCCAGACCATACCTCAAAATAAAAAGTAAAAGGTGTTAGGGACTCAGCTTTGCATATAGGCCCTGCATTTGGTCCTCAGTCGGGAGGAGTATCAAGAATCTTACTCAAATAGATTTACTTGAAAGTGGCATTTCAAATCAGTATGGATTAGACAATGTTTTTTGAGGTACTGGGGATTAAACCCAGGGCTTTTAGCCT